TGATTTGTAGATCCTAATTCTAATCCCACCTTTAAGTATTACTTATATTTCACTGACCAGCTAATAAAAGTGGATCACAAAGTGCTTCCTAGCAAGGTGCTCTGACGATATTAGATAGTAGCAATGTTAAATAACTTGCCAGGTACAGTGGCTCACACCTGAAATCGCAGCACTTTGGGAGGCTGAGGTGGGAGGATCACCTGAGGTCAGGAGTTCGAGACCAGCCTGATCAACATGGTGAAACACCATCTCTAATAAAATACAAAAAATAGCTGGGCGTGGTGGTGTGTGCCTCTAATCCCAGCTACTCGGGAGTCTGAGACAGGAGAATCGCTTGAGCCCGGGAGGCAGAGGTTGCAGTGAACTGAGATTGTGCCACTACACTCCAGCCTGGGCAACAAGAGCGAAACTCCGTCTCAAAAAAAAGAAAAAAAACAAAACTTGACTAAAGTGTGCAGCAGCCAGCATCTCCTTCTGCAGTGCACGTTTTCATTCCAAAAGAGCAGGAGACACAGCTGAGGAACGTGGGTCTTTCGTCTCACAGGTGAACGCGTCCCCGTCTCTCACGTCCAGCACTGCCAACGATCGCATCCTCAAGTATAACCTGATTAATGACACCCTCAACATCGCCGTCCCGAACGGTGAAATCCCAGACTGCAAATGGAACAAGTCGCCCCCAAAGGAAGTCCTCGGCAATTACGAGATTCTGTAAGTCTGCGTGTGACTGTGCGCTTGTTCTTCTGTGTTTCCTAATGGCATGTGCCATAGCCCAGCTCGGATTTCTGGGCATGTGTGGATTCCCCTTATGTGGGCAGAACGTTTCATTTACTAATGACATTATGGGATAGATTGTGTTGTAGCAGAAAAGCAGTTTGTTTATTTATTTTACTATTATTATTATTTTGAGAGGGATTCTCACTCTGTCGCCAAGGCTGGATTGCAGTGGCACGATCTCGGCTCACTGCAACCTCCGCCTCCTAGGTTCAAGCAGTTTTCCTGCCTCAGCCTCCCAAGTAGCTGGGATTATAGGCATGTGTTACCACTCCTGACTAATTTTTGTAGTTTTAGTAGAGACAGGGTTCACCATGTTGGCCAGGCTGGTCTTGAACTCCTGACCTCAAGTGATCCTCCCACCTCGGCCTCCCAAAGTGCTGAGATTACAAGCGTGAGCCACTGCACACAGCCCAGAAAAGCAGTTTGGGTGCTAAACTTGATCATTGTGGATTCTCCTGCTTATGATATACATGTGGTGCACTGATCACGTGCCAGGCCCCCGTTGGTTGCCAGGATAGCTGGAGCTGGCTGGATGGAGTGCCTGTTTCTCACAGGTCACTGGGGGTCATTCCCTGACTTTGCCACATAGAGCTGGGTGACAGGGAGAAACTCAGTGCAACTGTTTGAGCCTCAGTTTGTCCACCTTTAAATGGGTATAATAAGCTGGGTGCAGTGGCTCACGCCTGTAATCCCAGCATTTTGGGAGGCTGAGGCAGGCAAATCACCTGAGGTCGGGAGTTCAAGACCAGGCTGGCCAACATGGCGAAACCCCATCTCTACAAAAAAAAATAGGGATATAATAAGATCTATCTTACAGAGTGGGAAGGAAATAGCTAACTTTCGAGGGCTGGTCATGTGTCAGAAACTGTGCAGAATGCTTTACACACAGTATCAATTCCTTTCCCCAGTAATATTTTGAAGTAGGTAAGACTATTAGCTCCATTTCATGGGTGTGGAAACAAAGGCTTAGAGCGGTTCCACGGCATACTTGTAGTGATGAAAGTGGGAACAAAGTGAGAGCCCATCAGGAGTGTGGTGGCTGAACACAGTATGGTTCCTTCATTCTGTGGTCTGTGAGGTGGGCTTTAAAAAGATTGAACTGGCTGGCTGCGGTGGCTCACACCCAGCACTTTGGGAGGCTGAGGCGGGCAGATCGTGAGGTCAGGAGTTCAAGACCAGCCTGATCAACATGGTGAAACCCTGTCTCTACTAAAAATACAAAAATTAGCTGGGCATGGTGGTGCGCACCTGTAATCTGAGCTACTCAGGAGGCTGAGGCAGCAGAATCACTTGAACCCGGGAGGCGGAGGTTGCAGTGAACCCAAATTGCACCCCTGCACTCCAGCCTGAGCAACAGAGTGAGACTGTCTCAAAAACAAAAACAAAAAACAAAAAAAGATTGATGTTATATATTAAGCCATCATGTCACTTCCTGTCTCTTATACACATCTAGATGTGTATAAGAGACAGGTCTCACTCTGTCGCCCAGGCTGGAGTGCAGTGGTGCGATCTCGGCTCACTGCAACCTCCACCTCCTGGGTTTAAGCGATTCTCCTGCCTCAGCCTCCCAAGTAGCTGGGATTATAGGCATGTGTTACCACTCCTGGCTAATTTTTGTAGTTTTAGTAGAGACAGGGTTCACCATGTTGGCCAGGCTGGTCTTGAACTCCTGACCTCAAGTGATCCTCCCACCTCGGCCTCCCAAAGTGCTGAGATTACAAGCATGAGCCACTGCACACGGCCCAGAAAAGCAGTTTGGGTGCTAAACTTGATCATTGTGGATTCTCCTGCTTATGACATACATGTGGTGCACTGATCACGTGCCAGGCCCCCGTTGGTTGCCAGGATAGCTGGAGCTGGCTGGATGGAGTGCCTGTTTCTCACAGGTCACTGGGGGTCATTCCCTGGCTTTGCCACATAGAGCTGGGTGACAGGGAGAAACTCAGTGCAACTGTTTGAGCCTCAGTTTGTCCACCTTTAAATGGGTATAATAAGCTGGGTGCAGTGGCTCACGCCTGTAATCCCAGCATTTTGGGAGGCTGAGGCAGGCAAATCACCTGAGGTCGGGAGTTCAAGACCAGGCTGGCCAACATGGCGAAACCCCATCTCTACAAAAAAAAATAGGGATATAATAAGATCTATCTTACAGAGTGGGAAGGAAATAGCTAACTTTCGAGGGCTGGTCATGTGTCAGAAACTGTGCAGAATGCTTTACACACAGTATCAATTCCTTTCCCCAGTAATATTTTGAAGTAGGTAAGACTATTAGCTCCATTTCATGGGTGTGGAAACAAAGGCTTAGAGCGGTTCCACGGCATACTTGTAGTGACGAAAGTGGGAACAAAGTGAGAGCCCATCAGGAGTGTGGTGGCTGAACACAGTATGGTTCATTCATTCTGTGGTCTGTGAGGTGGGCTTTAAAAAGATTGAACTGGCTGGCTGCGGTGGCTCACACCCAGCACTTTGGGAGGCTGAGGCGGGCAGATCGTGAGGTCAGGAGTTCAAGACCAGCCTGATCAACATGGTGAAACCCTGTCTCTACTAAAAATACAAAAATTAGCTGGGCATGGTGGTGCGCACCTGTAATCTGAGCTACTCAGGAGGCTGAGGCAGCAGAATCACTTGAACCCGGGAGGCGGAGGTTGCAGTGAACCCAAATTGCACCCCTGCACTCCAGCCTGAGCAACAGAGTGAGACTGTCTCAAAAACAAAAACAAAAAACAAAAAAAGATTGACCCAGAGCTACACTGTGGGGCTTGGGAGGTTGCCTGGGAAAAACACACTGCAGAAAAGGGTGTATAGTTTATTCCTTGTAAAACATTGGCCTTAGAGTCCCCTGTGTGTACATACAGTGATGTGTGCAGTGGCTTACATGCGAATGCATGAGCAGGGAAACGTGGAAGGACACACATCATGTTGTTGGCATCGATACTGCGGTCGAGTGGGTGTGGAGGGAGCCAGAAAAGAGGGAAACAGACGGCAGTAAAAGGCGGAGGAGTAGGTGTGTTAGGATCACAGTTACATGCTTTTGTCAAAGCAAAAATGTGCGTTTCATTTAAATTTTTAAAAAACAAAAGAAGAAAAATTTAGTGAAATTTACACACACACATAAGAGACTTCAGGCTTGCAGCTGGTAGGCGCTGCTGGTGGGAGGATTTGAACACGGGCCCAGGACTGTGGAGCCCACGCTCAGCTGGCTCCTGCCTCTGCTGTGGGTGATGTGTGGTGTGGATGTGCATGTCCCAGCTCATTGTCTGGGACAGGAGGAGCAGGTGGAAGGGGAGTTTAGGTGGAAGTACGCTGGGCTTGCCGGCAACCTCGGGGCCTCTACAGGGTGGTGGCTGTGAACTTCAGGGGCAAGCAGTCAATGTGTGTGGTTAGCTGTTCTCTCGCTCCATGGTCAGCTGCCCAGGCTAGGTACAGGGAAGGCAGAGGGTTGGGAGGGACCAGGGTTGGGAGCTTGTGATGGCAAGAGAGAGGGCAGCGGGGACAGGGAGAAGGTGGGGGTGGCTGGCAGTCCGGCAGGGAAGAGGGTTGTTGGAGTCGGGCACTAGGGAAGTGGGCTGGGAGGAGAAGGGGCAGTGGTCAGGGAGTGAGCCTTGGAGATAATATGAGGGGTGATGAGGCTTGGGGACTCCCTGGGGATGGGACTGAGATGGAGTAGAGGATGGGGTCACCAGAGGTCAGGGAGTTGGGGCTTTCATCTGTTTGGTCATTGCTGTCACCTGCCACCATGAACTAGGAGCCTGGCTCTCCAAGGGATCTGGGGTGGTGACCTGGAGGACTGGAGGTGACTGTGAGAGGAGGGAGGTAACTGTGGTGACCAGGCCTGGAAAAAGCTGGGGGTTTTAGAGAGGAGGCCGCTCCAACCGGGAGGATGGTGAGTGGAAGAGAAAGCAGCCTCCATACCAGGAGCTGCGGGGGAAGCAGCGTCTCCCAGGAGACTCAGGAGCCCGTTAGAACAGGAAAGGGAAGCGGAGATTGAAGGAGAAGCGGAGGGCAGTGGCAGGTGCGACGATGGGCAGAGAGTTCTGGAGCCCACAGAGGGCGATTCTGGGGATGGGGTCAGACTGGGATTGGCAGCCTGGGAGGTGAAGGGTAACATCAGGGTTGGGGACGGCAACTGCAATGGTGGCCTTGGGGGCTGGGTCCTGATGGTCCCTGTGCTGGAGGACCAAGGGGGTCTGTGAGGGTGCACAGGGGTGGGGACCGTTGCGGGGAGACTTGTCAGTAGCATGAGGACCTTGGGGGGTTCTCTTCAGTCCAGCTGAGTGAGGGTGGTGGGGAGGCTGGCTTGTTGGGAGTGTTTGGAGCCTGAGACCTGTCCAGCCCGTGGCCTTCTTGAGGGAGAGGACCAGACTTGCCATCTCCAGGCCAAGAAGCAGAGGCCAGGCCAGGCGCGGTGGCTCACACCTGTAATCCCAGCACTTTGGGAGGCTAAGGCAGGTGGATCACCTGAGGTCATGAGTTCAAGACCAGCCTAGCCAACATGGTGAAACCCTGTCTCTACTGAAAATACAAAAATTAGCCAGCTGTGGTGGCGGGCACCTGTAATCCCAGCTTGGGAGGCTGAGGGCAGGAGAATGGCTTGAACTGGGAGGTGGAGGTTGCAGTGAGCCAAGATCGTGCCACTGCACTCCAGCCTGGGCAACAGAGCAAAACTCTGCCTAAAAAAAAAAAAAAGAAAGAAAGAAAAAAAAAAAAAACCAGAAAAGAAGAAGCAGAGGCCAGCGCCTCACTGCTTTTAGTTGAAGAGAGAATAAGGTGACCCCCCTCCCTGATCCAGCCGTCCTCCCCTGGCTCCTGAGGGGTAATGGAAGGCTTTTGTGTAGAGCTGATGGCTTCTAAACGCTTCCAGTCCCAGTCAGGGCTCGCTTCCCCTAGGCATTCAGATGATCAAAGAACCTCAGCTCCATTTTCAGGTGCAGCCACCTGCAGCAGTAGCAGTTGGTGCTGACTGCGAGGGCCACGTCATCTGAGTGGTGCCGCCCATCCATGCCAGGTACTCTGTGTGCCCACGGCAACCCCTCAGAGCCCAGCAGCATCTAGTGGAGGACACTGGCTGCATGAGGTCACTCCCAGCACTTTGGGAGGCCAAGGTGGGCAGGAGGCAGCTGACGTGCCCCAGGCCACACCATTGGCTGTGGCCCCACAAGGCCTGGCACTTTGCATCTGCCACCTGGAGGTGGACCCTGTTCTGAAGTTGCTGGCTGTACTTTTACAGCCTTTAAAAAACCCTAATAGTGACTAGATTCTTTCTGTGAAAACCCGGAAGAAAAGCCTGCTAGAACAGGAGCTTCGAAGAACTATCTTGGCTCTGATTCTCCTCTGCGTTGGCTCAGTAGGTGGCCAGACCACCCCTGGGAACAGCACATCCCGGTGCCAGCTGCTTGCCAAATGCTCCTTTCTGTTTGTTTTGTTTTTTGAGCTGCACAGATCAGCACAAGTGCTCTGTGAAACTGGTCACCATATGTGGTCTTTTTCTCCATTCATTCAGTACATTCCTATCCACCAGACCCTGAGCAAGCTGCCGGGGGCAGCCACGAACCAGACGGGCGGTCACTGCAGCCCCCTGGCCACTGAGGCAAACACGGAGGGGCAGTGGAGTGACGACATTTATGAATGTGGAGTCCCCAGTGGGTCAGGGTATCTGATCCTGTGGAGACGGACCAGGGAGGCATCCTGGAGGACCCCCCACCCAGGCAGATTCCAGAGTTCCGGGGGTGTCCTGTCTGGCTTCCTTGTGTCATAGGGACTGTGGCTGTCTCTTCTTCGAGAGCTAGGGAGGAAGCAAACCCGTGTCACTGTCCTGACAGCCCCACCCTGGTGCAGAGCCTGGATGCTTGTGGTGTCTGCTGCACAGACAGAAGTCAGAAAATGCGGCCAGGCGCGCTGGGTCATGCCTGTAATCCCAGCGCTTTGGGAGACCGAGGCAGGCAGATTGCTTGAGCTCAGGGGTTCGAGACCAGCCTGGCAACATGATGATACCCCATCTCTACCAAAAATACAAAAAATTAGCCGGGCATGGTGGCATGTGCCTGTAATCCCAGCTACTTGGGAGTCCGAGGCATGAGAATCTCTTGAACCCAGGAAGCAGAGGTTGCAGTGAGCCGAGATTGCACCACTACACTCCAGTCTGCATGACCATTTAAAAAAAAGTAGTCAGAAAATGCTTTCTTCCCTCCTGCTCTTTCAGTCCCAGTTTGCCACTAGAAGCGCAATGTAGAAAATGCATTCTTTAACCTCAGAAGTTTCTCTTTTTTTTTCTTTTTTTTTTTGAGATGGAGTCTCGCTCTGTTGCCAGGCTGGGGTGCAGTGGCGTGACCTCGGCTCACTGTAACCTCCGCCTCCCTGGTTCAAGCGATTCTCTTGCCTCAGCCTGCCAAGTAGCTGGGATTACGGGCATGCGCCACCACGCCCAGCTAATTT